ATCTACAAGGCACCAGGCAAGAGTCTGAAAAATACTTATTGTCTTCTTGCCTGGATGAATGCACCTCCAGTAACATTCAAGAAGCTCAAACACCAAAAAGCTTGAAACAACATAAATGAAAACCAAAAGAACTGCGGATGCTGTAAATCAGGAACAAAACAGAAGTTGCTGGAAATGCTCAACAGGTCTGGCAGCATCTGTGAAGAAAAAATCAAGAGTTAACGTTTCAGGTCTGGTGACCCTCAGAACTGAGGATGAAACAACCTAGTTGATTAGTACCCTATCTGCCACCTTAGATATTCATTCCCTCCATCATCGGCAAAGAAACAAAGTTGCTACCTGGTATCAATGGGTCTAAGACGCAAGTTGTTTATTAATAGTGAAACCGACCCCGTGATGTAGGATCGAGATCGGTTATGGGCGAGACACCAATTGCTGTTAAATATAATAAATGTTACTTGTCTCCATCCCGTCCTTTAAGGATACATGCACAACATTAAACACCTCTCAAAGTTAATGTCTCAGGTGTGCGGCAGCTGTGCCTCTTCCTTTACTGTGCCAACCAACTTTAGCCACAAAAATCGCTTGATAGTGTGCACGCCCGATTAGCCCCATTGCCATGCAGGTTCTCCCGGTTAGTCACAACCTCTAGCCCCGCTAACGAGTCATTGAGGCCTCCAACTCTCTTACCATAGGAACCATTTCCCATCCCTCCGAGGCAGAAGGCAGCACCTAAGACCCGCCCTTCCCTGCCGTTAGTCGGGCCCCCGATCCCGGCGCCACCGTTAGCCGGAGCCTCGGGCTCGCTCGGACGCCTCGAGTCCGGACAATCGCTTTGAAAGGAATGGAATGTGGAAGGTGCCCGCGTGCTCTTCCCGGCATCCTCCTGGTCGCCCGCACGATGCCAGGTGGAAGCGGCAGCTCTATCCCTGTCTGATCAATCCGTCAGTGCCCGGCTCCGAGAGGCTACCACCGTTCCTTCATCCATCACAGCCTGCCCCTTTCCCTTCACGGTAAGAGATCTGGTACGAGTGTGGAGAACGGGGTTTCACCCTCCGTTCCCCGTAATCGCCGGCCGTCTGATCTGTTTGTTTGAAGCTGTAAATAATTTCTCAGAGGGCATGGTGCAGGGGGAAAATGGCGATGAATGTAAGGCAGTAGAGGCTATAAGCAAAAATAACTGCAGAAATTGCCAGCTGCAGAAATATGTGTGTATCGGGATTTGCAGCAGACTAGGTTAATGGGTATATTTCAGGGCTCCTTAGAAATTATAATAAAATGCAGGATTTATTTTCGTTGAATAAGCAATATCCTGATATTCAAAGCGCCCTCGTTAACTTTGATAACTGTACTTGGTTACGTTGGATTTTTGATGCAGAGAAACAAGAGATGTTGACAGTGAAGGCACTGTTGCTGGAAAGATGAGATTGCTTTTTCTTTTCGAGCTCTAAGGAACCCAGCGTCAGTTACCTGTACATTGAAGCTGAATCACTATCCTAGCGTTTTACTTATTTCCAAAGACAGAATTCTAATTAAAAGGAAGACTGCTTCCAATTGCTCTTAGGATAGGAAAATACATACATGTTTGTCTGATTCTACGGCTTTTGTAATTTGTCATTTTTGAAAAAAAAATCACCGGGAAATACCGAAGGTAACTTTAAGATTTGATTCTTTGTCACATTTCCCCAATGTCTTGTTCCTAAATTAAGTGAAATTTTTATCTACGTAAATATACCAGCTGATGTTCCTTGGCGTTGCTCACAGTTTGTCAGAGGATAATGAGAGGAAATAATTGTGACATTTCCTGAGGTGGACGTCATTGAAAAGAATGATATAAATGCCTTTGTTGAGGTGAATTGAAATATATTGTTTTAGAACGAAGTTAGTTAGATCCTTTTTATTCATTTATAGGATGAGGACGTAGCTGGCTGGGCAGCATTTATTGCCCATCCCTAATTGCCAAACAGTATTAGAACTACAGACCAACAGGTATCCTTAGGTTAATACAGTAGAGAAATATTAAATGAAGTAATATCAAAATGAGTGTGAGAAATAAAAAACAAAGCTACTATTTGCAGAATGAAAAAAATGACAAAGTTGACCCCTCTGCCACAGAGTTAAATGTTGGAGCAGGAATGAAATAAATAGTGGAGACACATGAATAAAAATGTCAGGCCAGTAACTAAATAAATGGTTACAGAGCTGATTGGGCTTTTTGTCACATAGTACAGTGAGGAAGAGGGGAGGTTTTCTGGTGCACCTGAGCCAGAACTTCAGGTTTTAAGTCCTACCTGAGAACTTGATGGCCAAGGAAGATACATTCATAACTAAGCAACCTACTATTCTTCCAGTACACATCAATAGCAGGTGGTAAGAATGAAGGAAATTCCTAGTCAAATACATAGAGTCGTCGAGTCATACGGCACGGAACCGGACCCTTCAGTCCAACCAGTCCACGCCAGTCATAATCCCAAATTAAACTAGTCCCATCTGCCTGCTCCTGTACCATATCCCTCCAATATGAAAATAACTTTGGAGCCTCTTTCTTTGCTATTTATAGGTCCAAGCTACAACATACATGTAAAATCCATGTTGCTGCAGCACCTAGGACTGTGAGTGAACTAACACACAACACTGCAATGTGGACATATTCATGTTTCCCATCGAAAATGGAGGATTTACTTTACTTTAAAAAAAAAGACTATTAAATAAAAGTGGATAGCAATTAATTAAACTAGCAGTAATGACTAAACTAGAAACACTTTTTTTTAAAAAAAAGGCAGGTAAACTAGATTAAATTAAACCTGACAAATAATTCAATTTGACTTATTGGAGGTTGGGAGGAAGAGGAGACCAAGGTGGAAATAGGGAAATTGTCTGTCCTGAACGACTCTTGCCATAATGCAATTAATAATAATCAAACAGGCAAAATAACCTGATAAGCTTAGTAACTCAGCCACTGGTGCAGGCAAAAATTTGTAATAGTGCCAGTCCCAACCCAAATAAATGGGCAGGAATTGATGCAGGAAGGGCATCCAGCTGTAAAAATCATCCATCATATCCAAAAAAAGTAACACTAATAGTTAATCAACAAGTATTGCAGCAAGCAAAATGGGAGAAGCTGAAAAAGGAAGGAGTCAGAGGTACTTTGATACCAGAAATGGCAACATTTCTTTTACTCTGTGCCTATTTGCTGTGAGAAGGTAGTTGTGGTATTTCACAGAGTATTCAGAGTCAACCACATATTAGACTGTTGGACTGGAGTCACTGTTGAGTCAGATCTAGCAGCAGATACAGGTACTCTTCTTTGAAAGACACCAATAACTGGTTCAATTTTTGTCATGTCTGATTTTATTTATGGCATGTAAAATAATACTGTTTCACAATTCTCAGTTTCCTAGCATTTCTGCACACACTGTAACTATGGTACACTATTGGAATTGTTGTTCAAGTAATAATGGAAATTATTTATTTTTCTTTAACAGATAATTACATATGGATACTGGAGGATAAAACACTATTGAAGGCTGCACATCCGGAAAGTAGAATATCAGGTACATTCAGATTAGTTGCAGTCCTTCATATTTTCTTGCATACATTTCACCTTTCGCTGAGAAAAACACTCTATTACTTCAGAATGCTCCTGTAATTCTCTGTGCATATATGAATGATGTCATAAGGATTTTAGTGACAAAGTTATGTAGAAACCTAATCAACTGCAATGGAACTAAAGAATGCAACCAAAAAAGCTGGATTTTCACTCCCCGTGCTGGCTCAGAGCCCCATGATCAAATATGCTTTGCAACTTCTCAATTTGCCTGCAGTAAAAGGTATATTGGAGAATTGCTTTCTCTCTTCCTCATCATGACCTAGCTTGCTGATTTCCACATATTGGCCTGACTCCAGCTGTTCTATTGATTTCCCTCCTCCAACAGCAAATAAAATTTCCTCCTTTATCTGCCAGCAGTTCCAACCTCAAGATACAATAGCTAAAGAAACCATTGCACGTGTGGAATCAACTCTTCCCATGACATGGTTAGAGGCAATTCCTGGATGCACAGCAGTGCATGCAATACTTTGACAACCAAGACATTTGGGCATTGCATCAACGATTCAGAGGAAATGCCATTGGAAACCTATCCTGCCACCACCCCAAGGAGATATACTGTATCCTTAGGATCTGAGATAGGACTGGAGCAAAATGTACTGTATGATACAGAGCTGCAGTCCAGCATATGAAACATCTCTAATGTGGTACTTGCAGAAATCTTAAGCACCAAAACTGCTAACAGTCGTATGGAGAACTGTCTTCATGTGCTGCAAACTAGCCAGGAGAGGGACGCAAAAATATTCCTGATTAACAGCTAATCTTCTTGCTGAACAAATACAAGGAGGTAGCTATAGAAATAAATAATCATGACAATCAAGGACACAACAGAAATATCTGTACTTTCATCCCTTAAAACATGGAGAAAAATAAATTCATCCCTCTTCATCTGAAACACCCTGAAATCTATCTTACACTTTGGCAGCTGATTTGCATCCACATTGAACAGTCCAGAGGATGCTGATTCTCAATCAAAATGCCATTAAAGCATTGAGAAAGTTAATGACTTCCGATCTAAAATGTTTATTGGGCTAATACAAAAGGGAAGAGACAACTGCACTTCAATAGGCAACTAGATATCAATTTTTGTTCACATTTTCCTGAACTTTTATGAATACACAAAGCTGTTGCTGTCATAAAAATAGCAGTCTACTGCTCAAGCATTGAATAATGAATGCTATAATCTGCCAAGCTCAAAACTTTGAATAAGTTTGACACTCTGAGGCTGCTGTCACTGTCTGAAACCACGCTGGCGGGAGGATACCTGATACCTGATCACAAGCTGGCAACAGCTCTATGCTAGAAACCAGATTAAACAAAAGCGCATCTTCCTGAATGTGAATCATATCACAAATTACCTGGTGACACTACCTCCTATGTGAAAACCATGCAATAGATTTCAACGTGCTACTATGGCAACACAGCCACCCCAAGAGTTCTTCAGTGAATGAATGTTTGGTCTCCAGACTTCAAGATTATCTCCCCCAGAGGTGATGTAGAGGTGTATACAAGTGTTATGATATTTTATTGTTACATAGGCAGAGTCCTGACTGCATGGAAAAAGAAATCATAAGCTGGGAATGGTAATGAAACCCTACAATAAATATATTTGGTAGTTAGAGAACTTGCCACTCCATCAACCATTTCATGAAGCTTGAATATTTAGCCTGGAAGCTGAGTTGAATCGAGTTGAGCTTCAGCTATAACCTGCAGCTTAATCTTCTAAGGAATTTCAAAGAACGATAAGTGCCAATGACTGGTAGAAAGGGAATAAATCTTGTTCACAACAGTTAGGTTTGCTCAATATGTGCTAACAGAGGCAAGACATAAAGAGGTCTAGCCTACAAAATAATAGAAAATACGGACCCTGGAGGTTTATGGAATAAAATTTAAAATAGCCAAACATTTAAAAAGTGTTAATGGGGTAAATCACCCAATTAGCAAAAAACAAGTTCAGATATTTTGGAAAAGAACAGTATATCTTTATTGACTATTTATAAAGCACAAAAGTCTCCGCACTTCTATGGCACTATTTTGAATGTTATGTCCTTTGTACGGGGTGCGTGGTAATAGGAATGCTCTTTGCCATGCCTAAACAGGCTTCCTGCCAGTGTAACACCCTGAGTACATACACATAGAAGTCTTAAGACTGGTGCTGGGACCTGGACATTCTAAGTATCTAAAAAGTAGTCTTGGGCCATAGTTTGCCAAAACCAAGGGTCATTTGTTCTCCATCTTAACTTGTATAACTAATTCCTGAACTAAGAAAGCTGTTCTCCCATATATCATATATCACATATATATGGTATACACACACATATACACAAATATGTATATTCAGGATCCTTGAAATTGAAATTTGATTGTTCTAATACGGCATAAGGACATCTGTGCATCCTGTAGGCCCATGTGATTCTCTCAAGTTATGGCTTTCAATCACTACTGCTTCCTGAACTAAAACAGATTCATTTGAGAATACTTATCAATGAACAAAACAAGACTGTCTTGCACCATTGAAATAACAAAAACACACTTGCTGCAGTTTTCACTGTCTTGCAAGAATATGCTCATTGCTAATGCTGCTAATTGCATAAAAGCCTTTTATATATGTAGACTAAGATTTTGCCACTAGCAACTTCTTATGACCTTGAAATCTGCGCATGAATATCTGATGAAATATATGATGGAAATTCCTTGTTTCCTCATGGCACTTTAAATCCGGAATGCAGCAGCAGTGATGTCAGTAAACATAGACAATCAAGGAAATTGAAATATTCATAAACATCAAACCAGGAAGTTAAAAGCAGAATAAAGGTAAAGACCTTTCTTAAAAAAAAACTTGTAAATATGTAATCCTTTTTAATCATGGTGAAATTTGAAAATTCCTTAAATTTACAATGACCTTTTCAGGATTTGTAAGGCTATTTAACAGTAGTTATGAAGTATCCACTGAAATTTCAGTTACATGCCATTCAACAAGGTGTGACTTTTTTGGAAGCTTTTACACCGAATCTATATGCCAATAATGTGCCACTTGTTGGTGGGAAATTCGCTTGGAATTCAAGGATGAAACTACTCCTGACATAAGGAAATGGAACAGAGCTCTGGTTAAGTTGTGAATAAAACACAAAAGGTTTGAGGGATACTATCCACTTGCCTATTTTGGAACATTAAAATCGTAAATACATCTTTAGCTACCTTTTTGCTCAGAGTCATCTGGACATGTACTTGTTGAGGTCCTTAAATTGCTAAACTGCATTACGAATGGACAGCATCAGGAACATTAAAACAACGTAAGGAAGCACATTCATCTTTGTGATGCTCGATTCACCTCCGTTCTGTTATGTCCCACTGTAATTTGTATGAAATTTCCTTTCCCACTTCGTACTGTTCCTCTCCACTTGCATCTTCCATCCGCCCCTAGCTTTTGCCATACCCATCCTGCATGAGGAGGAAGGTCAAGGTTGCATGACTTAGTTGGGATGGGGTGTGGATATTAGAAAGAGTTGTACACATAGGTTGATTTACCAGGTAAATACTTCCCGGTGACTGGAAAGGCAGTTACATGGCATGATTGTCCATAAGCGTATGATGGAGTGTCAGTTCAACAATTGTGGAAATTCTGCTCAGTATAGGGAGCATTTAGTTGTCTTTGGAGTCGTGTGGTTTCCCTACCTCAGGCCAGAAAGTCCAGATTCAAGTCCTACATGCCTTGGGAGAGTGCCATAGCACATCCAAAGAAATCGATAAAAATAACATAATCATGAGAATGACAATCAGTAGCAGGGGTTCACGAAGAGAAAATGTTCCTTGCTTTGATGTGGATTTCTTCAGAAGTGGAAGTCCTGTTCAGTGAGAAGATGGGTCGCAAAACAGTGGTGGTATGAAGATGAGGTGGGAGGGGTGTGGTCATGCAAATGAGGATAATGGTCTTGGAGAGTTACAGGTGAGGGTGAAAGTTGGGATTTGCAGTCCAATGCTCCCTATACTATTGGCATTAAGATTGCTCTAAAATTTTTGAGAGTACCTATTGCATCATAGGGAAGACTCTGGAGATCACAGATGTCCAAAATACTGGTTTTTACCAGGTTGATTTAACTTTACTATTTTAGCAGGTCACCTTGAAAATTTATGTATTGGGAACTAAACTGGCTTCTCAGTGATGAAAATGTGGTGACCGTAGTGCATTGTAGCAGGAGAGCATGAAGAGATCTCAACTTATGATTTCTAAATAAACCGGTTGTAAGAGATAAATGCAGAATAGACTTGAAATGTAAGAAAGAAAATGTGAAAACTAAAAAATATGTATATTGGTTTTACACTTGATGGCTGTGCCAGTTAACGGTTGTATTTTTTGTTAACTTTATCTGTTATAAATTTCCCATGTGTAATTTATAATCTACAGTTCCCTGTTGCATATATTGCTTAGCCACTAATCTGCTGTCTAATAATTATTAGACCTCAGATTAAAATCTAGTAAATCAGGATGGTATCTCAGCTAATAAACAGCCTGGAAAATCCTGGCAGTCAGTGTGATGAGGAATTTAACGTTATCGCTTCCAGTGTGTAATTTATGATGAATACAGTTGACAAAATATACAACAGGAAGTCGAGCAGTGCAGACACGAAGTGCAAAATCAAAACTGTCGATGCTGGAAATCCATAATCAGAACAGAAAATGCCAGAAGCCCATAGCAGGTTATGCAGTATCCGTGAAGCGATAGCAAAGTGCATGCAAACACAATATATTATAAATATTTAATTCTACTTTTTTGTTTAGCCCCAGAAACAAAGATAAAGTCTGCTACTGGATCAACAATGTGCCAACAGCCATATCGCCACACAACTTTACCCCAGACATTGCAACCTCTTGCTATCGAACCTGTACTCTTAAAGCAACCCCAGAATCTTCAGTCTACCTCATCTGCAGTGATGCCACGATCCTCACAGTTGTTACCTGCACAGATGTTTAAATCGTCTCAATCAGAGCTTGTTCTGTTATCACAAGAGAAAGTACCTTCCTTTGATGCACACCAAGATCCTGTTTTAGCAGATCTCTGTAGACCACTACTTTGTAAATTATGCAATGTATCCCTGAATTCAACACAGCAAGCACAGGCACATTATCAGGTACGTTGGTCAACAAGAAAGTGTCTGTGTATGTATGCATTATGTTGAATCAGAATATAGAAATGTATAGTGATGAACTTGTATGGAAAAGAATAGACCCCTAAGCATAGATTTTTGACTGGCATTATTTGTTTAAAATGAATGGGTGAATACCAATATTAAAATAACACTAATTAGAAAATCTAGATTTAAATCCTAATTGGAAATGTGAATACCATCTGTCCAGTATGTTGAAATGCATTGTTTTTGCTTAGCTGCATTTTTTGACATGTAAAGGCTCCCTTCTGTAAATATTGCTTCTGGCAAGGTTGATTTGCATTTTTGGTGGAAAATATTAATTCTAAAGAAATCACAATCCAGTTAAGACATTGTGAATGAAGTAAAAACAGAAATTGCTGGGAGAAACTCAGCAGGTCTGGCAGCATCTGTGAGAAAAAAGCTGAGTTAATATTCCAGTCTGGTGACTCTTCATCGGAAGAGTTTCTCCAGCAGTTTGTGTTTTTGTTTCAGATCTCCAGCATCAACAGTTTTTTTTATGTTATTGTGAATGATATCTTGCTTGCTATCAAGCAGACACACCAAATACTAAGCTGTGGTTTGAAACAGATTTTCAAATGTGCTGGTAGCATTTACCCTATAGTGAATTTCTCTATAGTTGTGTTAATAGCTTATGTGTTAACTGTTAGAAGTGAATTTATGTATAAACAGATTAATCTCTCATGTTACGCATAGAATCAAAATTAAGAAATGAATAGTAATATCTTGAAAAGTGTTCATTTTACAGAAGAGGAGGGGCTGGAAGTCTTAAAATGCGTAAAGATGGATAAGTTCACCTGATCAGGTGTATCCTAGAACTTTGTGGAAAGCCAGGCAAGTGATTGCTGGATCCGTGAGATATTTGCATCATCGATAGCCACAGTTGAAGTACCAGAAGACTGGAGGTTGGCTAATATGGTGCCATTATTTAAGAACGGTGGTAAGGAAAAGCCAGGGAACTATATACCGGTAAAAAAATCACACAACACCAGATTATAGTCCAACAGGTTTATTTGAAGACACAAGCTTTCAGAGTCTCACTCCTTCTTCAGGTGTCAGTGAGAGAAGTAGCATCAGACACAGAATTTATAAGCAAAAGATCAAAGGGTCATAGAACTAATGCGGTTTTGAACAAACCTAAGATGGCTGATAATATTTAATCGGTTAGAAAGGATTAATATGCAAATTCCTGGATTTCTTTCAAGTCATTGCCCTGAGATAACTAAAAGGTTTTATGAGTTCCCTCAGTGTACCAGAGGTGACATCCCAGATCAGACAATGCATTTTAGGTGTGAGGCCTTGTTTGGAATCTGGCTGTGTATCAGCTGGGAGTTAGACTGGTTTTATTTCCAAGGTAGGAATTTATAAAATGCCACATTGACTGTATACAAATTGTGCACTTTTTGAACAAAATAGAATGTATCTGCAATTATAGATCTGCAATTGCAAATTCACCCCAAAGATACGTGTGTGTGTGTTTGTGTGTGCGTGTGTGAGAGAGAGTGTGAGAGAGTGTATGGTGGGGTGGGGTCACCTGTAGCGCAACATGAACCCAAGATCCCAGTTGAGGCTGTCTTCATGGGTACCGAACTGATTAGGGATCTAACAGCTATCTTAGGTTTGTTCAACACCACATCAATTCTATGACTCTTTGATCTTTTGCTTATAAAATCTGTGTCTGATGCTACCTCTCTCACTGGCACCTGAAGAAGGAGTGAAACTCCAAAAGCTTATGTCTTCAAATAAACCTGTTGGACTATAACCTGGTGTCGTGTGATTTTTGACCTTGTCCACCCCAGTCCAATTCCAGCACGTCCACGTCATATTTACTGGTGAGCCTGACGTCAGTGGTGGGAAAGTTGTTGGAGGAGATTCTGAGGGGGAGGATTTGTATTTGGAGAGGCAAGGACTGATTAGGGATAGTCAGCATGACTTTGTGCATGGGAAATAGTGTGTCACTACCTTGACTGAATTTTTTGAAGAAGTGACAAAGAAAATCGAATAAGGCAGAAGTGTGGACGTTGTCTGTATGGGCTTCAGCAAGGCGTTGAACAAGGTTCTGCATGGGAGACTCATGAGCAAGGTTAGATCATATGGGATCCAGGGAGAGCTAGCCATTTGGACACAAATCGGCTTGAAAGTAGAAGACAGAGGGTGGTGGTGGTGGAGGGTTGTTTCTCGGACTGGAGGCCTGTGACCAGCGATTTGCCACAAAGGTTGGTGCTGGGTCCACTGCTTTTTGTATTTTATATTAATGATTTAGATGTGAATAGTAAGTTTTCAGATGTCACCAGATTAGATGGTGTAGTGGACAGTGAAGAAGGTTATCTCAAAGTACAACGAGACCTTGATCAGATGGGCTGAGGAGTGGCCAATGGAGCTTAATTTAGATAAATGTGAGGTGTTGCATTTTGGTAAGGCAAATGAGGGCAGCTCTTATGCACTTAATGGTTGTGTCCTGGGGAGTGTTGCTGAACAAACTGGACTAGATTAATTTAGGGTATCTGGTTGACATGGACAGTCGAACTGAAGGGTCTGTTTCCATTCTGTAAAAATCTATGACGCAATGACTCTAAGTGTTGCCATCAGATGAAGTGAGGTTAGAAGGTGGAAATATTGGAGCAGATGTAATTCAATCATTGTTTTATGTGTAAATTGGACTGCGACACCTGACAACTGACATATGCAGTTAACCGTGGCAACCAGGTTGCTGGCTGAGTTACCTTGCTTCTGCAAAGCTACACCAATATCTAGCAGTGAAGCTCAGTATTAAAATATATGAGAGGGCACAAAATTGGGAACGTAGATGAATGGTGCATACCCACTAAACTCTACAGAAACAGTTTGGGCTTGTGTGAATTCCGGTGAAATTCCAATTAATGGCATGGTAATTACTGCTAAGCAACCTCTGAAAATGAACTTTTACAAATGTGCATTCACATTCCTTTTGATTTCCTATTTTTCTTTCCCCTTCCTTTACATGATCGGGCATTTAATTGAGTATTCTTGCTGACACTTTCAGATTCAGACTTTGCATTGCTCAGTGATGATTTTTCATTTTGATTGATTGCAGAGATACACAGTTGCTTGTTCTGCTTATATAGATCACAGATCAACTGAATGAAGCAACATTCCAGTTAGCCAGCGTTCAAAAATAATGAGCAGCAGTTTCATATAGTTTTGTTGGAAACCATCCATTCCAACAAAACTACATGAAATTGTTCGAAGAATATTTTGAATTGCAGACAGTTGAATTTATTTCGGCGTGTACCATCTGTCCTCCCTTTAAATTCTCGACTCCGATTTATCCAACAAGCCAGTGGCTAGAGGGGAAGTCACTTATTGGATAGCTGCTGAATGGAATTAGTGGAGGCTGGCAGCCAGCATCCTCTGCATTTGAGAATTATCACCCTGGTAAAGAAAGAAGAAGATTAGGTATGGCAGAGCTGAGGATGTTAAGATGGATATTTTATGTCTTGAGAAGTGGGTATGCCTAGATTGGCAGCAACCAGGATAAAAATCAAGGTTACTGAAGAGTTCAGGAAGGATCAGGAGAAGAGACTGGGATAGCATGGGTTTATTTAATAAAGGCCAAAAGATCATATTCTACGAAAGATGTTAGAGTGGACTCTACCAGGAAAGCTAAGACCAAGAAGGTGGATACTTGCAATCTGAAAGCTTCTGGCGGAGAAGGGCCTCAAGATGCTTGATGAAATAACTCCACAGGGACTAGTATCCTGTCACCAAGTCACCCTTTATTTACACATGGAGATTCCTTGACACTGCTCCAGCTCTCTTAGAGCCAGCTGTCAGAGTGAACAGAACCTCTCACATTCCCGTTTATATCTATCAGTCAAGGCTCCCTGATTGGACCAGTTTAATAACCCACATCGGGGAAATCATATTCTATGAGGTCCACTTGGCTGGCCTCATTACAATCACTAGACTTGAAACCTGGGGGAACTGGAGAAAGGCTACTGTGAGTCCTGAATCTGCTTAATTTTTTTTATTCATTCATGGGATGAGGGCGTCAGTGGCTAGGCAGCATTTATTGCCCAGAGGGCAGTTAAGAATCAACCACATTACTATGGGTCTAGAGTCACATGTAGGCCAGACCAGGTAAGGATGGCAGTTTCTTTCCCTAAAGTACATTAGTGAACGAGATGGGATTTTTCAACAATTGACAATGGATTTATGGTCATCAATAGATTCTTGATTCCAGATATTTTTATTAACTTTCAATTTCACTATCTGCTGTGGTGGGATTTGAACCTGGGTCCCCAGAACATTATCTGGGTCTCTGGATTAACAGTCCAATGATAATACCATGAGGCCATCGCCTAGGGAAAAGCAAGAGCAAAAAAAGATCTAACACACCCTCTGCCTTCCTTTCCTAGCATATTGATAAGATGATATTGGCTCTTCCATAACTGTAAAATTTCATTTCACTTTAACCCCACCAAACCCTGTCTACAACCTTGCTGGCTGGGTAACCTTTGATAGACTTCCTTATGCAATAATTTTCTGCCATGTTGGTTAAGAAGTAGAGAAGATTGTGGGACAAGGAGAAGACACAAGGGCCTTAGAAAAAGGCAGGGAGATATAATGAGATGATTGATTGGGGTGGAATGAGGGGAGAGAAGGGTTTACAGGAGGAGAGGAGCAAAGCGGAGAAATGAAAGCGAATGAAGAATGAAGGATCAGTTCCTGAGGTGAAGTGGACGAGATCATAGAGAAGAGGAGAAAACTAGAGCAAATTGAGTAAGGGCAGGAGATTTAAGGCATTGAGGAGCTGAGATAATGGTATGAAATGAGAGAAGGAACTTTAAAATATGATTATCTCTGACAAGAGAGAATCTTAACACTTCCCCTTGACATTCGTCAGTTTTGCCATGCCTGAAATCCCCACCATGTAGATCTTGTTGTCACCATTGACCAGAAACCTAACTAAACAAGCCATTAAAAATGTGTGGTTGTAAGAGCAAGTCAGAAGCTGGGCATTCTGTGGCAAATAACTCATCACGTAAATCCCAAAAGCCTGTCTGCTATCAACAAGTCAGGATGTGATGGAATAATTCCCACTTTCCTGAATGAATGTGCTTCTAATAACACTTCTGAAGCTAAGAAGCTCAGCAGTATCCGTGATAAAGTAGTTTGCATGATTGGAATTCCATCCATTACTCTAAACATTTATTCCCTTCACCATCAGCGCACTGTGATAGCACTTTGTGCAATCCACAGGATGCACTGCAGCAATTTGTCAAGGCTGCTTTGATAACACCACCTAACCTGCAACAATCCTTACCTAGAAGGACAAGGGCTGCAGGCTCACATACCATCCTGATTTGGAAATATATTGTCTTTCCTTCAATGTCACTGTGCCAAAATCTTGGAACTCTCTTTCTAACAGCACTGTGGCTGCACCCAGATTAGTTAGGCTGAAGTGGTCCAACAGAAATTGGGATTGGGTAGTAAATGCTAGTTTTGCTGGTGAAGCCTACATCCCATGAATGAATATGAAAAAAAAATTATTGAAATAGCTTTCCCTTTTTTCTTGTCTATCTCCACCCCACCCTACCTGCTGTCTTTCTTATCATGAAGTCAAAGAGTCATACAGCACGGAAACAGACCCTTCAGTCCAACCAGTCCATGCTGACCGTAATCCCAAACTGAACTAGTCCCACCTGCCTGTGCTTGGCCCGTTTACCTCCAAACATTTCTTACTCATGCACTTTTCTACATGTCTTTTAAACGTTGTAACCATACCTGCATCCTTTGGAAGTTCATTCCACACATGAACCACTTTCTGTGTAAAAAAAAATGTCTCTGGTCTTTTTTTAAATCTTTCTCCTCTCACCTTAAAAATATGCTCCCTTGTCTTGAAATCCTCCACCCTAGGGAAAAGACATTTGCCATTCACCTTATCTATACCCGTCCTGATTTTATAAACCTCTATAAGGTCACTCATCAACCTCCCATGCTGTGGTGACAAAGGTCCCAGCCTATCCAGCCTTACCCCATAACTCAAACCCTCCATTCCTGGCAACATCCTGATAAATCTCCTCTGAACCCTCTCTAGCTTAATAATATCCTTTCTATAACAGGGCAACAAGAATTGGACACAGTACTCCAGAAGAGGCCTCACCAACATTCTGTATAACCTAACCAGAACGTCCTAACTCCTACACTCAAAGGTCTGAGTGATATAAGCAAGCATACCAAACGCCTGCTTAACCATTCTGTCTATATATGATGCAAACTTTAAAGAATTATCTGTCCTACAACACTACCCAAGGCCCTACTTTTAATTGTATAAGTCCTGCCCTTGTTTGTTTTACCAAAATGCAGTACCTTGCATTTACACAAATTAAACTCCATCTGTCACTCTTCAGCCCATTGACCCAATTGATCAAGATATCTTTGTAATCTTAGATAACTTTCTTCACTGTCCACTATACCACCAAAGTTGGTGCCATCTGCAAACTTACTAACCATGCCTTCCATATTGTCATCTAAATCATTTATATAAGTGACAAACAAAAGTGGACCCAGCACCCATGCCTGTGGAACATCACTATCACAAGCCTTTAATCCATCATCTTGCCTTCCTTTCTCTCCATACTGCAGTAGAAAACTGTACTTGAACTTGACTTTGCCTTTGTAATTCCCTTGGTTAATGATTAGCTTATTGTTAAATAGCAAATCTTACCCAATCTGGGAAGTGAAAAAGTAGAGTTGGCTATGGCATAAGAGTTTCTCTGAAGTTGTAGCCAAGTAGTTATAGAGCTATCATTGGCAGTAAACTGTAGTTATAGCTTGAACAGCTCAAATATAAAAATTCTGTTATAAATGTGAAAATGCAATTTCATAATTGAAACGTGAAAATTTAAACTATTGTTATAATAAAAATAAAAGTTATTAGCAATTGCACAATTCAGATTACTATTGGTTGAAAATGTAGGTTCAGTGTCATAAGAAATCATTTTACAATCTTAAATGGCTATATGGCTGAAGACTCATATCATTTCTATTGTACCACAAGTGCATTGTTACATGAAATGCTACTGTAAAAATAAAGCAAATAGTTTTCACAGTAATACCAATGTCAGTTTTCAAAAGCATAACTGTTAGCATTGTAGAAGGTGACCGTTTGTATTTTTAAAAAGTGGTGGGCTTCCTAAACAAATCAATTGAAAGAGTATAAAATTTAAATCCTGATGGTTTTTGTCTGAATTTATATAAAAGAGGCCAAGTATCACACAAAATGGTTTCTAAAGACTTCTAATATGGCAGTTCCTTTCCATTTTTATTCATGTTACTCTAACCTTACCTCTCAGTTAGTCGTGAATTATCGATGAGGTTTCCCACACCAGTGGTACTAGTGCTGAGTCATAGATTGTGACTGGTGTGGTTGCTTTGTTAAATACAAGAGTGCGTGATTTGACTGTGCTGCAAGCAGGAAGCCTTACCTGGTGGAAAAGTAGATCAGAATTTTGATGTTATAACTATATACAATGCATGACATGCATTTTATTTTCTGATATTTAGTTATGGATATTACACTGATAGCACTTTCTTGTCAGCAAATTATACTGCATGTTAATAATAAAAACAGAAAATGCTGAAAATATTCAGCAGATCAGGCAACATGTAGACAGAGAAACATATGATTAGCCTTTTGTCTCAGCTTAGCAGTTACGATGAGTAAAATTGAATCAGAGATAGTAGGAACTGCAGATGCTGGAGAATCCGAGACATCAAGGTGCAGGGCTGGATGAACACAGCAGGCCAAGCAGCATCATAGGAGCAGAGAGGCTGACGTTTCGGGCCTAGACCCTTCATCAGAACCACGATGAGTAAAAGTTCTGTTCTGGTCGCTGCATTATAGTAAGGATGTGGAGGCATTGGAAAGGGTGCAGAGGAGATTTACCAGGATGTTGCCTGGCATGGAGGGAAGGTCTTATGAGGAAAGGCTGAGGGACTTGAGGCTGTTTTCGTTAGAGAGAAGAAGGTTAAGAGGTGACTCAATAGAGACATACAAGATAATCAGAGGATTAGATAGGGTGGACAGTGAGAGCCTTTTTCCTCGGACGGTGATGGCTAGCACGAGGGGACATAGCTTTAAATTGAGGGGTGATAGATATAGGACAGATGTCAGAGGTCGGTTCTTTACTCAGAGAGTGGTAAGGGCGTGGAATGCCCTGCCTGCAACAGTAGTAGACTCGCCAACTTTAAGGGCATTTAAATGGTCATTGGATAAACATATGGATGATAATGGAATAGTGTAGGTTAGATGGGCTTCAGATTGGTTTCACAGGTCGGCGCAACATCGAGGGCCGAAGGGCCTGTACTGCACTGTCATGTTCTATGTTCTATGTTCTATCTTCATAGCCTCTTTTATTTGTCTTGTTCAGATTCATTTTGTAGATAACTGAAATAAGCATAAGGAGGATATTAAAATGGGGTAAGGGTCTGTAAAGTTGCCTTAGGTCAAACACCTACAGGAAAGAAGGGCAAAGATGACAGAAGCAACATAGTGGTTATTTCTTGAGTGAAGTCTTTTGCTATTCACAGGTGAAGATATTTTTTGTACAAATCATATCACAGTATATTATCTTACGTGGAGTGTATATGTTCCCCCAACTCAAATAATTTGTGAATATTTGTTTGTCTTAGGGCAAAAACCACTCAAAGAAACTTCGTAATTATTATGCTGGGCATCAGTGTGTGGCTACTCCCAAACTGACTCATTTTGTAGATCAACCAGGCACACAACTTCACCCACCAGCATCCCAGGTAATGTAAATAAATGCTATTAGTAGGGAACATCCAGATCTAGAGAAATTGCTGAAAAGTATAGCTGTTATTTGTTCCCTGCAAACCTGTATAATTCATTTGTCACCACTCTAATTGAATTTAAACTATGCACTCGTAGTATGATCACGTTGTCAATTTACAACATTTGCTACGCCTTAGAAAACAAAGAACCTGCCTTTATATGTGGCATCTTTCATGCACTCAAGATGTTCCAAAACTCCGGAGACCCAATGAAGCAGTAGGTGTTAAAGTATCTAACATGTACAGAAAAGATTCTGAATAGTGTGATCAGCAACTAAAACAAAGCAACATTCATGTTTGTCTTATTTTAATCCCCCGTTCACATTGCAGATAAACTACAGTGTAAATCCATTATTATATGCTTCAATACGCAATGAATGTACATGTTCCCTCTCCTTTTAGCGCAGGCATCTTATAACTCTCAAAAGAGATCAATCTTTATTTTGCTAGTTATCTTAAGGGTCTTCTTATTAACACAGACCAGCTATAATGTGGTTACACTTCTCGAACCACAATATGGGCATTATAATGGGCTGTTTAGACCAAAATCTAGCTTGAGTAACTAAAACTACCGTGCTGTACTCATAACAACCCAGTCTCGGTAGCCTACTACAATAAAGAATTACCACAGATTCACCACTCTCTGAGAGAAAAAATTCCTCCTCATCTCTGTCTTAAGAAGGCAGTTCCTTAACCAGAGAATATGCCATATGGTCCAAGGCACTCTCACAAGGCAAAACAACCTCTCAGTATCTATTCTGCCAAGCCCTCTAAGAATCCTGTATGTTTCAAAAAGGTCACCTCTCATTCGTCTAAGCACCAATGAGCACAAGATTAATTTACGCAACCTCTCCTCATAAGAAAATCCCTCCATATCCGGAATCAACCTAGTGAACCTCCTCTGGACTGCCTCCAATGCCAGTATATCTTTCAT